ATTGTGTTAAACAACCTGGTTTCTCTATTCTTGAACCTGACTGAAAACAAGAAGCTCAGTGGGGTTTTTCTTACAGCAGAGTAGCAGAAATAAACTGTAATCTAGTTGCCGTCATGCCTTCAGAATCTTATGTTGTATTTAAAAGTTTCAAGCCATCCACAGCCTCTACAGCTCTGAGTGTTGTTCCACCTCTGCCCACTTTGATATGAACCCCATATAATACTGAAACATTTTGTGGGCTTCTGAAAGTGAAATGATCACAGTCACACATCACGCTTTCTTCACAGATTATTGTCTCGCTGTTTTACTGTGCTTGGATCTGCTCCAGGCCCTCTTCAGTAAAATCACACAATATATTTGCAAAAATATTCATTCACCAGTCAGGCTTAAGACATTGTCATGTCAGTGAGCAGCAACTGAGTGATTACTCCAAAAAGATTCTGCCAGTCAGATCCAATTTTGTCTTTTTATTCTTTCTTCATTTTCTTATCTGAGGCTTTTAGTTTGAGGGTGCAGGTAATGTCTAAGAGTATTACCTTTTGCACAGCTTGTCTGATAAGTTTTACAGTAAAACCAAGCCTAGATTTTACACAAAGACATGAAACACAATAGTATTTGATCTGATTGTTTGTTGGTAAAATATAATTGCAGAAGGAAAACCACGTTATTAGAGATTATTATATTCATGACAGAGGTGATGGAAACAAGACTGACAGTGCAGGAGGTACGTAAATGCCCATCAGCTTAAAAGCTGCTGTTTGCTGCATCAGGACATCAGTTTGTGAGGATTTCCAAACAAAACTGATGTGAGGTGGATGATATGATCTGCGGTGCCAGTGATGTGATTTGGATACATAAATACTGCATGAGTGCAGTTAAAGCATGTGATTGCAATGTGGAAAAGGAAGAATTTTACCTTTCTAGGAACAGCTACGTCTAACGGGGCTTGTTGCCAGTCAGGTGTGTATGACATATGTATTTCTTACACGGGGTAAACTGCCAAAACGACCTAGACTGGCATCCCAGTACCTGCAGGTGTGCCATGCTTACCAGAAAACAATTTCAAAACAGGATAACGCTCTCTAACTGTGAGGCACTATTAACACATTTTGTGTGAATTTTAACATAACATGTGTAAGAAAATGTGTAAACACACTTGATGTGTTGCACAATTTAACACATTTTGTGTGTTATTTTCAGAATCTAACAACAGGACCTAAAATTAGCAGCTCAGTAATTTGATGCTAGCCCTGCGTTTAGTGAAATCAATTGTAGATTAACAATGTATTATAATTATATTAACTGAATAAATAAAATGTTTAGTTATTGTTTGTTTTCCATAATCCTTTCCTCATTACTTTCAACAAATAAAACATTTTATAATGTAATGTGGACCAAGGTGTGTATGGTGTACTAAAATTCTGAAAGAGGATTAATTTTTTATTTCTCAATATGTGTGGCATACCAATTAATGGCTATGGCTATACTATAAGCATAAGTATCCACACAGAACAGGCTTAACTTTGACCGTAACATGTGAACTAGGGCAATACAATTGAAGCAAAAGTAGAAAATGAAATGAGTAAGAACACATGCTGAAAATTGAAACAAAATCTGCCCAGCAACATGACATACCAGCGGCGGGAAGGGGGCGCTATCTTTCGCGCCACTGAGACAAAGGAGGCAAAGATGGACGTTACGTCGCCT